ATCATATGCAGTAGTATCAATGGGTCCTCGTGGAACAATGGATAACGCCTCTGAATACGGAACAAGAGATCACACTTTCGGATCCTGCCGTTGTCGACAATTTTGCCCAGTTCCATTTGATCGCATTGCCTGCATAGCATATGAATTTTCGTCATATATTCGCTTGCGAGTATTTGAAGAAACCATCATATGCAGTTGGATCAATCGGGCCGCGTGGCGCATCGGATAACGCGTCTGAGTACGGAACAAGAGATTACACTTTCGGATCCTGCCGTTGTCGACACTTTGTCCAGTTCCATTTCATCGCATTGCCTGCTTCGCCTTTGAATTTTCGGCATATATTCGCTTGCGAGTATTTGAAGAAGCCATCATATGCATGCGGAACAATCGGGCCGCGTGGCGCAGTGGATAACGCGTCTGAGTACGGAACAAGAGAAAACACTTTCGGATCCTGCCGTGGTCGACACTTTTGTCCAGCTCCATTTCATCGCATTGCCTGCTTCGTCTGAAAATTTTCGGCATCCATTCAAGAGCGAGCAGTTAGAGAAGCCATGCTATGTAGTAGTATTAATCGGGCCGCGTGGCGCAATGGATAACGCGTCTGCCTACTTAGCAGAAGATTTCAGGTTCGAGTTCTGCCGTGGTCGACACTTTTGTCCTGTTCCATTCCCTCTCATTGCCTGCTTCGTCTGGGAATTCTCGGCATCCATTCAAGAGCGAGCAGCTAGAGAACCCATACTATGTAGTAGTATTAATCGGGCCGCGTGGCGCAATGGATAACGCGTCTGCATACGGAGCCGAAGATTGCAGGTTCGAGTCCTTCCGTGGTCGACACTTTTGTCCAGTTCCATTCCCTCTCATTGCCTGCTTCGTCTGAAAATTTTCGGCATCCATTCAAGAGCGAGCAGTTAGAGAAGCCATGCTATGTAGTAGTATTAATCGGGCCGCGTGGCGCAATGGATAACGCGTCTGCCTACTTAGCAGAAGATTTCAGGTTCGAGTTCTGCCGTGGTCGACACTTTTGTCCTGTTCCATTCCCTCTCATTGCCTGCTTCGTCTGGGAATTCTCGGCATCCATTCAAGAGCGAGCAGCTAGAGAACCCATACTATGTAGTAGTATTAATCGGGCCGCGTGACGCAATGGGTAACTCATCTGAATACAGAACAAGAGACTACACATTAGGACCTTGCCGTGGTCGACACTTTTGTCCTGTTCCATTCCCTCTCATTGCCTGCTTCGTCTGAGAATTTTCGGCATCCATTCAAGAGCGAGCAGTTAGAGAAGCCATACTATGTAGTAGTATTAATCGGGCCGCGTGGCGCAATGGATTACGCGTCTGCCTACGGAGCAGAAGATTTCAGGTTCGAGCCCTGCCGTGGTCGACACTTTTGTCCTGTTCCATTCCCTCTCATTTCCTGCTTCGTCTGGGAATTTTCGGCATCCATTCAAGAGCGAGTAGTTAGAGAAGCCATACTATGTAGTAGTATTAATCGGGCCGCGTGGCGCAATGGATAACGCGTCTGCCTTCGGAGCAGAAGGTTGCAGGTTCGAATCCTGCCGTGGTCGACACTTTTGTCCAGTTCCATTTCATCGCATTGCCTGCTTCGTCTGAAGATTTTCGGCATCCATTCAAGAGCGAGCAGTTAGAGAAGCCATACTATGTAGTAGTATTAATCGGGCCGCGTGGCGCAGTGGATAACGCGTCTGCCTTCGGAGCAGAAGGTTGCAGGTTCGAATCCTGCCGTGGTCGACACTTTTGTCCAGTTCCATTTCATCGCATTGCCTGCTTCGTCTGGAAATTTTCGGCATCTGTTCGAAAGCGAGTAATTACAGAAGCCATACTATGCAGTAGTATCAATGGGGCCTCGTGGCGCAATGGATAGCGCGGTCTGAATACGGAACAAGAGATTACACATTCGGATCCTGCGGTGGTCGACACTTTGTCCAGTTTCATTTCATCTCATTGCCTACTTGGTCTGGAAATTTTCGGCATCTGTTCGAAAGCGAGTAATTACAGAAGCCATCATAAGGAGTTGGATCAATCGGGCCGGGTGG